CTGTAGAGGACAAATCTGATCTGTAAACACAGTATATATGTGGTAGAGACTATAAGTACTTGTATGTTGATCAGACCTTCCTCACAAGGGAGAGCACGTAACATTGCCATTCAGCCCGCCCTGACAGGCAGCTGACGCGTTGATGCCTTATATTAACCTTCTAAACCTTATGTCCCTAGTTAAGGCAGCCAGTGTGGAGACTATATAGTGAAATTTTCGCTAATTATTGTCTATAGGAATATTATAAATTGTTGACTGTGTTATACAATTGCCAAAGGTCAGCTTTAAATATGGAAATTAGTTTAGCAAAAATAGATCACATACAACTAGCAATCTGATGTCTGCTGGCAGGAAGAGTCGTTTACATACGACTGGCAATATGGAGTCTGCTGGCAAGAAGAGTAGTTAACAAACAACTGGTAAAATGGTGTCTGCTGGAACGAAGAGTCGGTACACTCAACTAGCAATATGATGTGTGCTGGCACGAAGAGTCGTTAACATGCAACTGGCAATAAGGTGTCTGCTGGCACATGGGGTCTTTAACTTACAGTTGGCATCATAAAGTCTGCTGATATGAAGAGTCGTTTATATTCAACTGGCAACATGAAGTCTGCTGGTACGAAGAGTCGCTAACATTCAAATGACAGTATTGTGTCTGCTGAAACGGCAAGTCATTAAGATACAACTGGCAATGTAATATCTGCTGGCACGAAGAGTCGTTAACATCCAACTGGTAATAAGGTGTCTGCTGGCACAAGGAGTCTTTAACATACAACTGGCAACATGAAGTCTGCCGCTACGAAGGATCGTTAATATTCATCTGGCAATATGGTGTCTGAAAGTACAATGAATCGTTACCATACAACTGGCAATATTGTGTCTGCTGGTGCGAGGAGTCGATAACATAAAACTGACAATATGGTTTCTGTTTGCACGAAGAATCTCTAACATACAAATAGCTATATGGCGTCTGCTGGAATAATGAGTCGTTAACATACGATTGTCAAAATGGAGTTTAGGGCCACGAAGAGTCGGTAAATTACCACTGGCAATATGTTGTCTGCGGGCAAAAAAAGGCTTTAACATTCATCTGGAAATTGGTGCCTGCAGGCATGAGGAGTTGGCAAACAACTGGCAATATGATATCTGCTGGCAGGGAGCATCGTTGACATACAACTGGCAATATGATATATGCTGGCAGGGAGCATCGTTGACATACAACTGGCAATATGATATCTGCTGGCAGGGAGCATCGTTGACATACAACTGGCAATATGATATCTGCTGGCAGGGAGTATCGTTGACATACAACTGGCAATATGATATCTGCTGGCAGGGAGCATCGTTGACATACAACTGGCAATATGATATCTGCTGGCAGGGAGCATTGTTGACATACAACTGGCAATATGATATCTGCTGGCAGGGAGAATCGTTGACATACAACTGGCAATACGGTGTCTGCTTGCACAAAGAGTCGTTAACATACAACTGGCAATATAGTGTCGGCTGGCATGAAAGTTCGTTTATATACAACCGGTAATATGGTGTCTGCTGACATGATGAGTCGTTAACATGCAACTGCCAATATATTGTCTGCTGACCCGAAGAGTCGTTAATATACAGCAGGGAATATGGTGTCTGTTGGCACGAGTAGTCTTTAACATACAATTGGCAATAAGGTGTTTGCTGGCACAAAGAATCGTTAACATACAACATGCAATCTGGTGTCTGCTGGAAAGAATGGTCGTTAACATTCAACTGGCAATATAGTCTCTGTTGACACGAAGAGTCGTTAATATACGACTGACAATATGGAGTCTGCAGGTATGAAGATTCGTTATCATACAATTGGCAATATAGCATCTGCTGCCAGGAGGAGTCTTTAATATACAACTGGCAATAAGGTGTCTGCTGGCTCAAAGGATCGTTAACATATACCTAGCAATATTGAGTCTGCTTGTACTGAGAGTTATTTCAATAATACTGGCAATATGATGTCTGCTGACACGAGGAGTCTTTCACATAGAGTCTTGGGGCAGTCTTGATGGGGAGCAAACGTATAGGGTCAGCGGTCCGTGTATACCGAGGGAACAATAGGGTCAAGGGAGCGGGTGCACTGTGCAGTGAAAATCTGGACAGTGTAAATCGAACAGTGGCATTGTAATGCAACACATTGATCACATTTAGTGGTGAAATATCTTAGTGAATTTAAAGAAGATAGTTAGTGAAGATCGACTTCTTGAGGCAACATCAGTCGCATCAGCCGGGACTCAAGTGATGACCTAAAGACCTCAGAGGACTACCGACGACACGCCGTGTATTCACCTAAAGTGCTTGAAGGGGGATGGCTGGTAAGTGTCTCTCATGTATATATATATGGTTTATATAATATCATATCATAGGCACTATTGCATTCCATTCAATAATAAAATCGTAAGTGGTAGACAGGTAACAGGGACAGCAACTGTGAGCTCACTGGGAACCCAGTCAAGCCGCTAATCCCCCTGCCATAATTTGAAGACAACACCTCACCCACCTCCTCTTAACCCTCATCTCTCTGTCCCAACACCCTCCCCCCCCCCCTTGCACTCTCCCCTACCACTGACTACACGTACACACACACACACACACACACACACACACACACACACACACACACACACACACACACACACACAGACACACACACACACACACACACACACACACACACACACACACACACACACACACACACACACACACACACACACACACACACACACACACACACACACACACACACACACACACACACACACACACACACACACACACACACACACACACACACACACAAACACACACACACACACACAGCCAAGGAGGAAGGAAGGAGCCAAAGAGTTACGGTAAGGGGCGAGAAGTCGGACTGGCGAACAGTAACAAGTGGAGTACCACAAGGATCGGTGCTGGGACCAATTCTATTTCTTGTATATGTTAACGACATGTTTACAGGCGTAGAGTCCTACATGTCGATGTTTGCGGATGATGCAAAGTTGATGAGAAGAGTTGTGACAGATGAGGATTGCAGGATCCTCCAAGAGGACCTGAACAGATTGCAGAGATGGTCAGAGAAATGGCTACTAGAATTCAACACGAGCAAATGTAAAGTTATGGAAATGGGACTAGGAGATAGGAGACCAAAGGGACAGTACACAATGAAGGGGAACAGCCTACCTGTAACGAAGCGTGAAAGAGACCTGGGGGTGGACGTAACACCTAATCTATCTCCTGAGGCACATATTAATAGGATAACGACAGCAGCGTACTCTACACTGGCAAAAGTTAGAACATCATTCAGAAACCTAAGTAAGGAGGCATTTAGGGCGCTTTACACTGCCTACGTAAGGCCAGTCTTAGAGTATGCCGCCTCATCATGGAGTCCCCATCTGAAGAAGCATATAATGAAACTGGAAAAGGTTCAGAGGTTTGCAACGAGACTCGTCCCAGAGCTACGAGGGATGGGGTATGAGGAGCGCCTGAGGGAACTGTGCCTTACGACACTAGAAAGAAGAAGGGAGAGGGGGGACATGATAGGAACGTATAAGATACTCAGAGGGATTGACAGAGTGGACATAGACGAAATGTTCACACGGAATAGTAACAGAACGAGAGGACATGGATGGAAGCTTGAAACTCAGATGAGTCACAGAGATGTTAGGAAGTTTTCTTTTAGCGTGAGAGTAGTGGGGAAATGGAATGCACTTCAGGAACATGGTTGTGGAAGCAAATACTATTCATAATTTTAAAACCAGGTATGATAGGGAAATGGGACAGGAGTCATTGCTGTAAACAACCGATGCTCGAAAGGCGGGATCCAAGAGTCAATGCTCGATCCTGCAGACACAACTAGGTGAGTACAACTAGGTGAGTACACACACACACACACACACACACACACACACACACACACACACACACACACACACACACACACACACACACACACACACACACACACACACACACAGGGAGGGCAAATCTTGCCTTACATGCTTGATAGAATTCTATGATCAGGTGACAGATTAAGCAAGAAAGAGAGGGCTTGGCGGACTGCATTTTCTTGGATTGTCGGAAAACCTTTGACACAGTACCGCATAAGAGGCTGGTACATAAACTGGAGAGACAGGCAGGTGTAGCTGGTAAGGTGCTCCAGTGGATAAGGGAGTACCTAAGCAATAGGAAGCAGAGAGTTACGGTGAGGGGTGAGACCTCCGATTGGTGTGAAGTCACCAGTGGAGTCCCACAGGGCTCTGTACTCGGTCCTATCTTGTTTCTGATATATGTAAATGATCTCCCGGAGGGTATCGATTCATTTCTCTTGATGTTTGCGGACGATGCTAAAATAATGAGAAGAATTAAAACAGAAGAGGACTGTTTGAGGCTTCAAGAAGACCTAGACAAGCTGAAGGAATGGTCGAACAAATGGTTGTTAGAGTTTAACCCAACCAAATGTAATGTAATGAAGATAGGTGTAGGGAGCAGGAGGCCAGATACAAGGTATCATCTGGGAGAGGAAATTCTTCAGGAGTCAGAGAAAGAAAAAAACTTGGGGGTTGATATCACGCCAGACCTGTCTCCTGCAGCACATATCAAGAGGATAACATCAGCGGCAAATGCCAGGCTGGCCAACATATGAACGGCATTCAGAAACTTGTGTAAAGAATCATTCAGAACTTTGTATACACAATATGTCAGGCCAATCCTGGAGTATGCAGCTCCAGCATGGAGTCCATATCTAGTCAAGGATAAGACTAAACTGGAAAAGGATCAAAGGTTTGCTACCAGACTAGTACCCGAGCTGAGAGGTATGAGCTACGAGGAGAGACTACGGGAATTAAACCTGACTTCGCTGGAAGACAGAAGAGTTAGGGGGGACATGATCACCACATTCAAGATTCTGAAGGGAATTGATAGGGTAGATAAAGACAGTCTATTTAACACAAGGGGCACAC